TGCGGTGGGCGTATCGTTCATATTATAATGTGCGAGAGCTCCTGTTTAAGGATCATGTTCAATTATTTACGTTGCAGATTTACTCGACAATTTGATAAATATGCATGCAACGCTCATTAAAATGCATCGTAGTGATGAAACAGCCGCTAAAAGGGAAAAAATATCAGGACAAATCGAGGGTTGAACGGCGGCGGCGACCGGATATGAAGTGTAACATAGTTAAAACATTATAATACCAAAGTGTGCATGCTAAAACCAGACCAAGTATACATGTCTATTGCGTAAGGTATCAACCATAAACATGGTAAATAATAATATACTAAACACAACGAACCGATGCATAATACATACGACGAACGTGAAATACGACGAAGGTAGACGGCATATTATATAATATGCATTTTGTATAATGGGCGGCTGCACAGAACGGGATTCAGATTTTAAGTTTACTGTCGGATTCCCGGAGCGAATAACTTATAATTATGTATTACTTTTATGTGAGAACTTTTTCAAACAGTAAATTTATAAGTGTATAGACACACTTGAGATTTTGTAAAAATAAAGATCAAACATTTTATTAGCGACAGTGTTTATCTTGGGTAATAATACAAAATATGATATTATAAAAGAGGCGTTATGATTATTGCAAGTATATATTATCATATTATCATTGTACAAAAGGTTTCATATCATTTGTGGACCTCCATTGTACATTGCCAGTTATATTGTTTTTTCTTATATAAATTATAATACATTAACACTAATGTATGGGTGGCCGACTGTGTAGCAATATTATAATATATTCTTTAATGTCAAAAAAAATATTCGATTTAAAAATAAAACAGTGTACAAAGGGGACTCGATGTGAGGTGAATGCTCGGAAAATATCACTCTAAATACACTCTAAAAGAAATCGACATAAACCACAAAAATAATATTTATATAATAATACATAATATTATATACGAGTGCGTATCCCAGTGAATTATGATGTTGATAAATCAATATGACATCGGGCGTCTGTATAGGTACTTTGGGGAATTGGTCTGGTGCAACTTGTACGCATCGTCAATTTGGTCCCCACGGAGGACATTCACACTCAGAGCAAATAATATAATCGTAAACTGAGTTTCGATAATAGTTTTGGACATTCGATTCTTCTACGACAAGAGTTTACTTAACAATTACCTATTGTTTGACTTTCGACTGTAAACACCAAAAATGTATCTTTGCAGTGGCACATATTCGCAGGACATCAGAACACGCGCATAGAATAACATAGGTACCGTCGGTTTAACGGTTAATGGTTAGTGGTCATCGGGTTCATCTTGGAAAACTCTCATCGGAAAATTCATACATATAACTATATAAATCATATAGTATTATGTATCGAGAGTAGGCGAACCAAAGCATATGCCGCCCAACTCGACGAGTTCTACGGAGTAATTAAATGTTTTAAATTAGACTGCAGTGTGTTCAGTTGTTTAATACCTACCCACCCTATTGTTATCATCATCAAGGGATGATATCGGAGCTCTGGTAAACGATTTTACCTACACTATGCTCGCTCTTATTACACACAATATTATCGTTCTGGTTGTGTTTGGTATGTCTTGACTTTTCTTCGAAAATCGTAAGTTAAACGCGTAAATAAGTTCAATACGTGGATTGAAACTGAAAGGATAAGAAATAAGTACATTCCAAATTTTTTATAAATCGATAGATCGAACAAATAGATTGAACTGATATTACTTCATGTTCAACGTCGGTCGTTTGATGATTTAATTTCTAGAAATATTTTCAAATATTCACATAATACTTTCATCAAATAATTTAATTATTTCCAAAAATCAATAACGAAATAATATTGCACTACGTTTTTCAATATTGTTTCAGACGACTTGTATGGACAAGACTTATTTTACATCGAATCCCAAGAGTAACCGAACAATTGTACAGACAATTCTTTGGTAATAAATTGTCAATAAATTAAGGTGTGTACCTACTAAAAATGATAGTAAATAATAATTTATAAGAACAATGCTATCATACAATAGCAATACAAAATACTCTTTGTATTTATTAGTAGGCATGTATTTTATTTACAATGTCCTAATTTATTATGATAGTTGGAGGTAAAAATAATAGTAGAACATAAGTTCAAGCTATTCTATATATTAAAATTAATCATTTAAAAAAATACGCATTTAAGATAATTATTTATAAAAAACAAATGTATTAAAATAACTTTTTTTAATATCAATAGACATTGACAATATTTTCAAAATGTTTTCAAATTAAAAACAATTCTCGATTAATGGACTAAACACTAAAATAGAAATGAAAATAATCTCAATGTATTTTAAATATAATATTTAACACTTAATAATTAACATGTACTTTTAACAATATTTGTTAAAAACAAATAAACATTTTTCTGTATGACTGTGCCTACCTATTGTTGTTGATTAAACACAAATACAAAGTCATTGTACACACTAAGCATAATATATACGGCACTTCAAATATTTAACCTAATTACTGAAGCTTACTGAAATTGCAAACAGTAGGAATTAAAGCGTTTTGGTTAACTTGATGATAGATGATGGTTTTTCTTTCAGTTTTAAAATATATTAGTAGGGTATTTTATTTTAAATTTGTTTCAACGAAATACACAATGTGTTGGGTGATGGAACGATTAAACTGGATTTTATATTTTATTATGCTTGATATTATACTGTCGTGAGATTTATGGTATAAAATTACCACAGTTGATCAATAATGAAACACGCGATTGAGGCGCACAGTTTAGTTATATTGAATTAAAATATTTATAATTCAATAAAAAAAATAATAATCAACCGCGTTTAATAACGATTAATTGCCGCTGTTATTCGGGAGCGGAGGAGGATGTTGGCCGGAAAAACGTCGTTACTCGTTTTAATTTAAATACCCAGCTATAGATGTCTATGTAATAATATATTATAATAAAGAGCCGGGAGTTTTTGTTTACCACTCGAATACCGCTGGTATATAGATGTACATTTTTTTCTTTCTGTTAACAGAGGTTCTGTAAATTACTGGCAAAAGTACACGGCGTGAACTTTATTACGAGGGACGAGGGAAAATTATATGGCCTCGGCGTGTGAAAAGTCAGGGCAACATGTCAAGTGCACTTTTACCGCGCGCACAGACCAAGTGCCCCCCCTCCGTCAAGCGGGACGACTGGCGGACGAGGGACGGCTTGCCGCACTTATACATCGAGTTTCCTGTGGCCGTCGTCTACCTATCCATTTATATATATATAATAATTATAATAATAATAGTTATAATAGTAATAGTAATAATAATAATAATAGTAATAATAATAATAATAAAAATGATAGTATAATAATAGAACAGGGGATCGACTCATCGACTTCCTACGCGGCCTGGCCTACACATACACTTGTCAACGACTAAAACATAACACGTAGGTACCTATCGACGTGAAGTTTTATTATTATTGTTTTTTATTGTTTTTTTTTTTACGACTCAGGCGAGTCCCCCGTGTCCGTACTTTATCACTCCCGGATTGAATAATAAGAATAATAAAAACGGCCACGGACCAGGCTGTAAAAAAAAAAAAAATATCGTTTAAGTGCGTGTACTATATTATGAATATGCGAAGGAGAAAAAAATCACGACCTTTATTGAAACAATTTTATGTTTTTGGGGGGAAGCTTTTATTGCCACGTTTCCGAAGCCGATTGAAGAAACAATATAATAAGGGCCACTTAATGTTTTTTATTTACTCAAATATATCTATATAGGTAGGTATATTCGATTCAAAAGTTTCGACCCGTACCGTTTGATATTATTAGTACAATTCGATGTGAGTTAAATTTTATTTTCACTCGTAAATGCGTGGTTTAAGTACGGCGAATCGCTAAAAATAGGCGAAATTGTATAAATTTAAATATTATCGTCATATAAACACAGCAAATTATTACTGGGTGAAGCATAATATAATATTTACTGTCAGTTAAAAATAAATATCGAAATAATAGTAATAATTATAAACGTTTGGACTCATTGGTTTCATTTTAATTATTAAAAAAAATATTAAACTGAAAATTAGTTGACGTACATAAAACAATTAAAAAATTATGATGTTTAAAAATTTTTTTTATACGATTGTATTAGTAGACAAAAGAAAGACAGTGCAAACATGGTTATAATTTTAATGGTATTAATATTTGTTAAAATAATATCTGATCACAGTTATTAATGATTAAAAATTAGTTGGTATTAATAAAATAATTATTGTGCTGTAATATACGCTGTAATGGGCGGGAACATCAGTTACTACAGATACGACAGTTGTATAAACCATTTTATTTAGCCTTACACTTTCTAAGAAAATTTCTAGCAAAAAACTCTTACAAGTTCATACCCATACGAGCATAATACAATCTGGGTATTATACTTGTTTGCTCATCGCACGCATGTGTAAATCACGTATTATACTGCAGTGTTGTAAAGAATACCTTAAAAAAATATCTAATCTTAAATTTATATTTTAAAAAAAGGTACCGAATTGAATAACGACTCGAATACTTAAAATAATTGCCATAAATATGATTTTTAAATAATACCTATAATGTATGATAAAAAATTATAAAATACGTATACTACGTGCTAATGAAAAAATTAACGTTAATAATAATTATTGTCTGAATAGTTTTTAGTCACGTTGCAATAAAAGTTTTAGCTGAAATTATGCATAGTTATAATAATAATAATAATAATAATAATAAAGTTATTAAAATAAAAAAATACCATGAGACATAATAATATAAAATTATAATATTTTTAAAAAATACGATTAAATGTTATTGTTACGATATAAAATAAAACAGTATTCGAAAACTTTTACTCGAATACTTTTATTCAAATACTTTACAACACTGGCTCTAGAATAATACGATATCAAGTCATAAAATATAAAATATACTTACGCGGACGACTCTGGAAGAGCGCAGTCGAGTGTTGATAGCCGGAGCTGGGGCCCGGAGAGAGACAGAGTTTGAAACCGTCGTCGTCGTCGTCGTCTTGATAGTTGTCGTCATCGAGGCTGGAGTCCAAGAGTGAGCGTTCGCCGCTCCGGCATCAGCTTTTTATAAGGAGCGCGACGGCACCCCCCGGGCACCGCCGGTCGGGGTGGATTCTGCGCGCGTCCCTGTTTCTATGACGACAACCGTCAGCTAAATACTAAATGAGCTAACGGCGTGTAATTGAATTGCTCTGGCCCCTCCCCTCCACCGAACGCCGCAACCCCCTCGCCATCCTCTTCGACCACCTCACCCTCTCGCCGACATAACTTTCCCTCCCCGACGTCCCTAGGTATCGCTCTTCCCCTCTTCCCCTCTTCCCCGCCTTGACTACACTACCGCCGTGACTTGTATACACGCGCGCACACGTACGGGTAGATGTATATGGGATATATATATATATATTATATATTATATATACACCCCTAAGTACGTATGTGTATGCGCGTTTTCTTTCCCCTGTGTATTTTCGCAAAATCTCTTTTTCGCCACCGCCGGCGCCGCCACCACTCGCACTTCTCCCACCGCCTTTTTACATCATATTGTATATACTGCAGGTGGTACCTACCCTTAGCCTCTTCCACCGCATCAGCGGCGGCGTTCAGAGTCTTACGGCTGGTTTTTTTATTTTTATTTCTACCTAAGTCGTCGACTCGACTGTCATTCGTGGCGTGACTTCAAATTTTTCGAGGTCCGAGAGCAGAACTCTCCTGAAGTTCAACACGGACTTACATTAAATTTATCGATAGCGGTTATTTAGAGGGGCACGAAATGCAACGCGTTATTTAAAATGGAGTACATTAATACTTTTTGTAAAATTTTATAAAATTGCTTTACACGGCGTACGGTACGATTCGTCGTTAGTAATAATATTAATAATATTATCGTCAATAATTACGAATGGGATTTTTAGGCGGAAAGTTTTGAAAATTTAAGTAAGTGGTGACGTTTTTTTTTTGGAACACGCGTGTTCTATATTATAATAATAAGTGCGATACCCAATATATTGTGAGGAGAATAACACTGAACCTATTTGCCCGAATTCGGTTACCATTTTTTTTTCTTTTGAACATCACACAGGGCACTCATATTACAAAATATTATTTCGAGACGGTTCATAAATATTTCAAGACGGCGATAGTGGATACCGCCGAAAACGGTATTTTACAGTCGTTTACAGCTTTTCCGTAACTTGGCAGACAATTGTCCGGGAAGAAAGTTTAAAAACACCCTATCCAAACGGTACCGACCGTGTTAGATTTGCGAGAAACCCTACACAACGTTAAAAGGTCTCCTTCTACTGATAATAATAAAAAAAAACTTCCGCTTTGAACCTATTTATGTCGTAAATCAAAAAATAATTTATGTCAGTTGATAATAATTTTATCGACCGTGACTGTTCTAGACGTATCGCTGTAATTGCCGTATTATTTTTTGAAAGGTCTTGAGTCGATTCCGGGTAGACCCTCAGACCCACTCCAGTAACTTACTCCAATGGTAACACGGCGTTTAAGATAGGCAAAACGACTACATTGTCATCGAACATTGCGACACGCAGACAGCAGTGAAGACGGTGTCTTAGTGCATAGTATGCTTCTGAATCTCTCGTTTTTTAAAAATGTGTAACCTTCCCTATTCGTAGTTGTGTTGTTATATCTATTGTTTTAGTGGGTAACTTACGACTTAAGTTCCTACTAATGGTGTTAAGACATGTAAGAGTAAAAAAATATAATTACATATCAGCAGATAATAATATTATTACCTTACATAAAAATGAATGAATCAGTTTTTTTAAAAATTATTGTTATTAAAATTTCATCCATAAATATTATTCATCGCGACTGCAGTGATTATAATGTCTCGACGATTACAATACTTTGGATTACAATCATATCATTAATGAACGATAATATATAATGCAATTAAAGTTGTATTAATTAGTATAGGAATAATTATTTGGTTAGGTTAGAGTTAGTGAACATAATAATATTTGTGTAATTTTGAGGACTGTTATGCACCCTAAATGTTATGAACAATGAAATTGTTTTCCACAAAGAGCCATTAATTTTTAGATGCATTTCTTATTTTCAACAATTAATAATGTAGTATACATAATTGTAAAAATATAGTACGTTTGGTCGAAACTGATCTAAAATTTAGTTAATTGGGAAACTAAAAAACTCAAAATTTCAATATTAAAAAAAAAAAAACAGTAAATATAAATTTGTCAACTAAAAGTAAGTACCTAATATAAATGACGTCTTAAGTATGAAACGATAATGACTAAATTGTGTAAATTGTTTTTTAATAATATAAATCGTCGTTGATATTATAGCAAAATAAATTTTAAAAAATGTGTAGGTTTAGATACATATTATCCTGTATTATTATGTGTTTATAATAATTAACCTTTGGCAAATGAAATATATTTTGAACTGTTGATAGGAAGTAAATATAATATAGTTCTATCGAAAGAATGTAAGTTTAAAACTAATTTGGATACATCATAATTATCAGATGTTTACGAATATTGTCGTATTTATAGTTACCTAACCTAACCTATCTTTGCGTAATATTATGATTTATTCTTGAATTGTGACAGGCTGGAAGTTGTTGGAATATCTGGAGACGATTAATATATTATATGCTTCCATAGTAATGACATTAATAGTTATACTATTTATAGTACCTATTTAATAACTCTACACATCATATATTTTATAAACATAATATTATTCAATTTACTAAGTGTAAGCCCCCTAGTAATATTTTGTTCTAACCTCATAACTAGTTGCAAACTTATATTTCATCATTTAGTTCTTGAAAAAAAATGTATATTTCACAACGACATTTTTATATTTTGCCATATAAAAGCGTTGGTAGAATTACTGGAACTGCTTCAGTAGACTTATTTTGCACTCGAAAATCACTATACTAACTCCATTTGTGTGATACATTTCTAACTCTTGACTTTTTTTTCACTGTACTTACGTCATTTCATTGTGTTATCTCATATAAAATGTTTTATATTTTAGATCCTCAGAATAATCGCGTTGAGGAATGATGTATTTTAAAATAAAAAAATGTATTTATTGAGTCTGCAGTGAACATTGTTCGCGTAGGAGAGAGCTAAAAAGATTGTATATATAGCCCTTGCAGCTATTGTTTGAAAATTGAATGCCATAGTATTTTGGAATTATAAACACATTCCTCCTCGCTACGTTCCAAAATTTCGCTCGACTTGTACATTTTTACTTTAAAATGGTCACGGTTACTTAAGAACAAAATCCGTTAAGAATTAATTGCAGAGTCGAGAGACTACGCGTGTTCTACAGACTCATAAAATAAAAGCATGGTATTGAAATAACTTATAACCGTTTTGAATATTTTATTGAACTGTATCACCTGCAGTAACATCAAAACGTATTTCGCCAAATTGTACTAAATATTATTTAACAATATTATTAGCTCGACAGGAAATGCGCACTAATATATATTTTAATGTAATACATAGTACATTTATCATGCTTTTTGTTGAAATTCAGGAAAACACGTATTCATGCATAGTTAGTAATTAATTACTATCGAAACAATAATAAATAGCGTATAATATTGTTATGATCATCTTTTACGCAGAACAACTTATTTTTTCAATGATATAAATTGTTCATTGACTCAAATACACAGTGTAATATAAACGTGCAATATTTGATACAGAGATTCCGAGCCAGAAATTGACGGCTCTGCAGTTTCTTCGGACGTCTTTGTGTTCACCAAATTGAAGTTGTTGTTAAAACTTAAAATAGCAGATATTGTGAAAACATCATTAATATAATTAATGAAATTCGCAGAATGAACTTATTCCAAATTTTTATTCAAACATTTTTTATCGGTTCATATCGTTAGTTAATAAATAAAATTATATCATTTTTTTTATAATTAATTATAGTTCATGCAAAATATATGAAAGTATAAGAAATTACCTAAAAATAATTTATTTTTAATATAATTTCCTCAACTGTCTTCCTCATACAAGGGCGCAGGTTTCAATTCAAAGTGAATTTTTATTTTTCGGTGGCTTAGGTTAAAGACTCTAGAACAATACATTCCAAGTACTTAATTAGTTTCACGTAACAGATACTTAAAAGCGGAAAAATTTATCTTGCGTTTTCATTTAATTTTATTCATTTTCATTGCACATATTAGTACATTGCATGAGATTATTTTAATATGAACGAGGAAATTGAAAAAAATATTAAATCAAGAAAATATATTGTTTTATAATGTCTGTTTAGATAGATTTTAAGTACCAAGGTATTATTCATCCGTATCAAACGTCAATATTGTTTCTATTTGTGAATTGGATTGTCTATTTGTGATAATGCGGGGTCTTACACGAAAACAAATAACAATTAATTGATCAGCTTAAATTTCACCTTGATCGCGTTTATTTCGAATATACTATTTATTTATTGTGGGTACTTAAGCTCGGTGTTTTATTTTTGTTTTATTAGTTTAGTTAAGTTAGAGAAGTGTTACAAATTTCGAAAATTAAAGTATCGATTTCCTCTCATTTATCTACGTGTCTGTTAAAAAAATGATATGGGTCATTTTTGGTTATTTATTTGAGCAGCATTTTCTAATAATTTTTATAGCATTAAAATCATGTAAATTACTAATAAATTGGTACAGTCAATATTATAAGTACATAATTACTATGTAACTAAAATAATATACAAATTTAACTACTACTAATATCAATCACAAATTACAATATTTGCACAAATTCAAATACTTTTTTATCAAAATTATATTATATAGGTACGGTACACTCATTTATAATCATGGACTTCATTCATACGGTGTTAGCTGACCTGATAATTATTCTGTAATTCGTTTATTAGTTGCTTCTCCAATGCGCTTTTGGCCTAATATTTGTGGTATTAATTTTAATGTAATATTAAAAGGTTAGTTTTGGGCGAAAACAGTTCAAAAACCTTTCGCTTGAAATTTTCAAA